CAGGCTAATATCCAGTCACTAACTGGTATACATAAATGTGGTTGTCTAGTATCGGTTTTAAAAAAACAAATGTGTAAGAGTGCTTGCATATTGCATAATCCCATAAAAAAATATTAGTGCGTATATAATAGATATAATATTCACCATCAACATTCTTTCAGATGTGATTTTTACTGAGTTCTTTTTTTTCACACGGGATGTGAGATGTTTTTCATTGATCTCGAAAAATATGCAATAATCATCAAGTACTTTTGATGAGAACTATCTAGCAGTAACAAGTCATATAGACTTGATTGGTCGGGTGGTTGACCCTTAATAAATAAGTTTTGCTAGAAGTTTTGCAAATGCAACATTTTTATGCAATAGGAAAATAGATAGCATGAGTAAATTTCTACCAAACCATAATCACTTAAATGGCCCTCATTTTGGTAGATGAGTCGTCACATATCACATTGTATTGAAAAAATGAGATATCTTTATTGTTATTTCCTTAGCATATGTGGACATGTCTCGATTGATATTGTTTTTCTATTTATCAATGCTAAAACCAACAATTTACATTGTGTTGGATCTCATTTCATCCTTTATTCGAATAATTAATAACCTAAATGAGTTATTTCAAAGTTTGTATGAGTCAATGACCACTTTGACTCATAATATGCTAAAATATGCATTTTCTTATGCATTTATTAGATGCAATCTAATATTTTCTGTCTCATTTTTATAGCGAGTTTCCATGTTAAAAAAAAGGTACCTTGGTGGACATTGGCGTCCTCACATTGTGAGGGTTCGGGGAAGCCCCACAAAGGTATATAAGGTCATTCTTATTACTTTGACAAGAGGCTGCTCACCAGATTCAAACTTATGACATGACTCCATTCTATGTGAGGACATGAGTACAATTGTTTCAATCATAACTGATTTTAAGGAATTACTTCGATAAATATATTCCTTAATTTATTGTACATCACCACAATGTGTTAAGACACCTATTTGTCACAGGTTTCAATAATTTACAAATGTCACTCATATACCTTAGAGTGCTATGACCCCAAGTTGACTGTGGTGCATATCATTCTACTATTTTGTGGATATATTCCTTTGTATCCATTCTTTTATGAATAAAATTCATAGATATGCATGTAATGAATTCGAATGCGTAAACATCTCAAATATAATTTCAGATAGGACAATGAGATGTTAAATTAATTACAAATCTCAAACGAATATAATTGATACCAAACTTTAAGACTTGAATAAAAGTCTAATTAGAAGTAGTAATGTTCATATTTATAAACCTCATGAAAAAGTAAAATAAAAAAATGGATAAACCCAACAATTAGAGAATGTTCTTATTCTCAAAATAGTAGACAATCATGAAACTTAATTTATATTCTCATGCAGTGAATCTCTTGTTCTTTAGAGATTCTACGAAGATAAAAACTAAAAGTATATTTTCAAGTTATATATATCCTGATGAGATAATCACATTTAATCCTCTTATATTAAGGGATTTACTTTAAAATTTATATTTTCAATTTTTTTTATTTGGAAATTTCTTTATCCAAATAACTCTTGGGAGGTTTCTTTATCCCAAAAATATAATATTGTAATTGCATTTCAAAAAAAAGACACAATAACAATAAACATCATTCACTAGTGCAAGCTAAAAGCTAGTTAGTTACATAATTATTTAATATATACTGTTGCATTAGTATATGTCTAGAGAAGTATGTGTAAAAATGGTTAATTTTTTTCTATCAAATCAAATAAGCTTTTGTGATTTGCTTTTCACAAAGTGTGTCGGAGTAGCATTGAATTCTAAAATAAGCGTTGAAGATACTCAAGTTCATTTGAGTGCATAATGTCAAACTCCGGTCAAATTGATTGGTCAATTAATTTTTGGAGCCTTGTGTGAAAATTCTTTATCACACAAATAATTAATATAGAAAACTGAATAATGGTACTGAAATCCGTCCGAGGCCAAAATGCCAAATACAAGTTGAGATGGTCAACCATCTTAAAAAAAATTACATGATCATGAGTACATTCATGAACTTGTGTAGTTCATATGATATAAAACAGAAACTTGTGTATAAACAAAATCGATTCTTTGTGTGAAAATTCTTTATCACAAAAAAATAATCATCAGGGTATATCTCTTTGTAGACAATATTTTACAATGCATCGAAGCGAGGAGATATATATTCATCTCCTTAAAAAAATCATAGAGATTTTTATAGGATGTTATATGGTGTTTTTAATATAGAAAGTATTAATATTGGTCTAATGAACGGATTAGGCATGAAATATAGTAATCTTACGTGATTATGGTTCCAACTATATGTATATGGCATATAGTTTTACGAAAAAGTATAATCACATGGATGTATAAAAACGAAGAGGGATGCATAATGTGATATTGATTCCAACTATATGATTATAACATATAACATTACGGAATTATAATAAAAAATTGCATCTATCTCTAAAAAAATGGATGAGGCATATCATCAAACACTTGGTGTGGAAGAAAGGGATCTAAAAAAAATGACAACTTAATCTCAAAAAAAAATCAATGATGTTCATCACAATGGTAAACATGATGCAATAAATCATACACATAAGATTCTGCAATGATTTTTGAGTAAAAAAAATACCTTAACAGAGATCCGAGAATTCGTGAGTCGCAGGCTAGGAAGGGGGGAGGCCGGGCGACGGTCGGTGCGTTGGGAGGCGGCCAAGCGTGGCTGGATTGCTGGCGGCGCGACTGGACTGCTGGAGGCGCGGCTGCGGATTGAGTGTAGGGAGAACGGGAGAAAAAATAGGTTTAGGGCTACGTGCTGATAACGAGTTATAGGGAAGTGAGAGAGATGTGTTCATTCCATTAGTAAATCCCCTTTAAATATGAGGGATTAGGGTTTTACGAGGAATGAGGCAATGGGCCAATTAGCTCAATACATATAATCCCTAGATACACTTTCTATTTATAACGAATGCATATTAAAGTAATTTCCTTTGGCGGGAGTATAATTTTACTTTATTATTCTACTTAGAGCCCGTTTGGCAGCACGAAAATTGGCTGTTCTGGCTGATTCTGCTGAAATTTATGAAGTTCTGGCTGAAGTGGCTGCATTGGCTGATTCTGCTGATACAAGAAAAAAATATTTTTAAAATATATTTTATTAATAAAATAAAGAAAAAATTATATGTAAAAATAGCTAAAATAGTCGTCTACAGTAACTTCAGCCAATACAGCCAGAAAAGTAACCCCAAACTTACTTTTTCGACTTATTACACAATTCAGCGCGCGAAAGCAAAATTTACGTGTTGGTAAAAAAGTTGGCTGCTCATCAGCTTCATTTCTAGTACCGTTGACGATCTTGCCCCTACCATTGGTAGCCCGCTTCCTTTTTTCTTTTTCTTACTTAATGAATCTGCTGTGATGGAAGATTTCATGGGTTGTTGGTCTTGCGACATGAACATTGGAGCTAAGGCTACTTATGCCCACTCAATTGTTTTTGTATGCATTCAACTATATGAAATTTTTTATCTGCACCAAGTTGAGTTTTCAAATCCTGCTGTATTTGTGAAAGGCTAATGTAAAGTTTCCGTAATTTCTGAATCTTTGCCATTTTTACTTAAGTCTGATCTATTGTGTGCGGAAGGCATGAATTTGAAGGAAAAAAATCAATCTTGTGGCTATAATGCAAGTGCGGTTGATAAGAGTGGTGGTTCTATAGGTTTTCAATGGATCCAACTCTCACTAGCTTCAAGTGTCGTTATTATGCAGCTGGTTTTAAGGCTGTATCTGTGATTTGTGTGATACGATAGTATTATGTTCTTTGGATCTTCTGTTGGACAATGATTTGATTTCAACTTTGACCCAAGTCGCCCAACATCTTCACAATTACTTCAAGACTTTACTTCAAATACCTTTTATATCTTTGTTTTCCAGCACTCGTTGTGGTAAACCGGTGCAGTTGGGTTTAAGTGTAACTATGCACGTGACAATGCACTTTTAAAAAGAAAGATGATGCTTCCATCTAGCAAACAGGGTCTTATAAGTAAACCACTACTCTTAAGGGAGATAGATGGTTATATGGGTTAAGTTGGAGAAAAGAATATCAGCTAATTTTTAGACACAGTATACTCCAGGGAGGATCTACGTATTGGCTATGGTAGACCAAAGCTCAGGGTAACTTGAATTTTTTCATTTTTTTAGTGTTAATGTTTTCATTTTTCATATTTAGCCCACCCGTGTAATGTTTAAGCCTAGTATAAATTTTCTTCAGCCCAAGGCATATTGTGATGCGTCCATCTTAAGTAGCTGCTTATACCAGGAGTCAAACTTGGGTTTTCATAGTTAAAGTTACCAACGGTCTTGCTTTTAGAGAACAACAACAACATCCAAGCCTTAATGCCAAAAGAATTTGAGGTCGGTTAACATGAATCGATCTATCATATCGTTGACGAACAGAGAGACATACAGGGGGAAGTAAGATAAAACGGATAAAGTAATTAAAGATAAATGGAGTATAAGATAACAATAACATAAGAATATAAGAAAGATAAAAGATAGAAAGATAAAACAACATAAAAAAGCTAGAAGATAAAAATAACATAAGAATATAAAAGGATAAAGGAGATAAACGATAAAAGAAAACAGAGAGGAAATGCAGAAAAGACATCAATCGTCCACACGTATGTGCACCCTCCACTTGCTTTTAGAGAAATGAAAAAAAAAGAGCCAGATATTGACTTGGGATGAACACTGTACCATTAATAGAGCAGTGTGGTCCCAATTTGATTTTAACATTTTGGAAAGTTATACGTCTATGCTACCTGGAATCTGATTTTTTGAGCTCCACCAATGATGCACTCTTCTTCTTTGGCTTGTGGTAGGCGTTGATTTTAAGATTAAGACACTAACCGTTGGTGGGAAAAGATTGAAACTTACCATTTGGGACACAGGTATTGGAAATGCTGCATAACTTTTCCTTTTTTATGTTAAAAATAAGAGTGGCAAAGCTAGGGGTGCTCCAACCCCTAAAACATTTTGTTTTAAGTGTGTGTGCATATGTACTAATACTTGAATCGATAAAAGTGATTTGAAATATGAAGCTTTGGCTGCCTCGGTATTAAAATTTCCGACTGGTTCCTCCTGTAGTAAAACTGCCACGCCACTACTTAAGCACTGGGGTAATGTTGTTGTTGTTCAAATCCAGTGAACAACTTAGCTCTGAATTTATTACTTTATTTGTTGCAGCTGGCCAGGAAAGGTTCAGAACATTGACAAGTTCTTACTATAGAGGTGCTCAGGCAATCATTCTTGGTACGTAAGGAATATGTTACTAGATTAGGAAGTCTATGCACTTCTAGTAGTACAGTTCTCTATATACTCTACTAACAAGAGAGCACTAAAAACAGGTTATATTTTCTGCTGATTGCAGTTTATGATGTGACAAAGAGAGGCACCTTCATAAATATATCTGATGTATGGGCACAAGAAATGCAGCTTTACTCAACTAATCAGGATTGTATCAAAATGCTTGTTGGAAACAAAGTTGACAGGGTAAGATTCTTGAAGAATTTCCTTTTCCCTGTTCCTTCTCTTTGGTGGAGAAAAGAATAGTGGTCTCTTGATATAAGAACTGTAAGTATGCAACCCTTTGCATTATTAAACAAACCTTTTGGTTATTTCTTTTCCACAATCCATGCAACATTAGGAGCCTGATAGAGTTGTCAGCAGGGAGGAAGGTATAGCGCTTGCAAATAAGCTTGGGAGTTTATTTCTTGAATGTAGTGCGAGGACACAAGAAAATGTGGAAAAGTGCTTTGAAGAACTTGCCTTAAAGGTAATCATACTTACTCTCAAGTGTTTTAGATCTAAAAACATGTTATCTTATTTCTGTGTTGAAGTGAATGTTGTCCTCAAAACCAAAAAGAACTTTTTAAGAGGCGAGGATTGTCCAACCTATATGAAGGGGTCCAGTCTTCATATTTAACTGACTTGGAACACTCTTCAATACCATGCTCGACCAAGATCTCTGCCTGTCTGATCCATTTAATTTTTCTCATAAGGTGCCCATATAATGGCAACTGGTTGTGAAAGCTTTAGTGACATGCTAAAAAAATATTGGGCTTAAAACACTCTTAATAGGTGCTGATTATCCTCATTATGCACATTCTAAACCATCCTAAATCGTAAACTACCACTCTACCAGTGTACATGGTAACTTAGAAATTAGAATCATCTTAAGAACTCCCCTGATTAAGAGATTAAATTTTCCAGATAACGCAGGTGCCTAGTTTTTTGGAAAAGGGATGTGCCACAGCGAGGAACGTCTTAAAGCAGAAACAAGAATATCAACAGTCAACTGGCGGTGGTTGTTGCTTTTGACCATCCTTATCGGTAAATGCAATTGGCAGCCTTAGCTTCAAAAATTATAAGGAGCCATCTATGACTCCTTAATATGGAGTAAGGGAGTAGCCTTACCAACATCACCTCTCACTTAAGACATTCCTCTATGAGATCGAGTAGTGAAAGACTGAAAGTGATGCCCAGTAAGTATATATGAGTCTCCTATTTGAGTGTGATGCTACTCCCAGAATGCCACTTTCATAAGCTCACTGTATATAGGTAAAGTGTTTCGAAATGACTGTGTGCTTCTCTCTATAAAGCAAAACCAAATTCAGATTTTTTTTGTTGCATGATAAAGTGATTTTGACTCAAGTGTTTGATACTTATTCCGTAGTATAAATTGAGAATAGTACTATCCTCCGTTCTTTATCAACAATTTGACTTTCACGTATATCAACGCACAACTTTTACTCTAATTATATTTAATTATACATTAGTAAATATTATAAAAAGTCAATATTTTGAAAATTAACATTAATAGAAATTTAATAACATTTTATACATATTAATTTGATTATATATATTAGTAGAAAATCACGGTCAAAGTAAGGTGTGTGATTAGGGGTGGATTCGGGCCGGGTCCGGGTCGAATCCCGGCAGGCTTCGGTGCTAGAAAAATCAGGTACGGTACCTGTTGGTCCAAAATAGGACGCTCGTAGGCTTTTGGGAAAGCTACGTCAGACACTCAAGCAGGAATTAGGAAAGCAAGAACGGGAAAGTGCTAAAGGAATTTGGTAGCCAAAAATAGCTTGTCTATTATTTGACTCGAACTTGCCTTTTATAGGCGATTACAAATGGTAACTGTCGAAAATACTAATGGCTAACTAATTACAACATTATTTCGGAATTAAATACATAATTAAGTCACACATTAATTACTTTGGCCGTTATAGTTCCTGGCATGTCAGCCTGGCTGGTAGGCTGGACGCTTGAGCTCCCTCTTGCTGGATTGGACGGTGGGCTTCCCGCTAGGCTGGAGGAAGACTTCTGACCGGGTCGGAGGTAGGCTCCCGGGTAGGCTGGAAGGCAGGCTCCCCGTTGGGCTGGAGGCAGGCTGCTGGTCGGGCTGGAAGGCAGGCTCCCCGTTGGCCGGGCTCGAGGGTAACTCCCAGCTGGGCTGGTCGGCAGGCTCCCCACCGGGCTGGGAGGCAGGCTCTCTTGGGCTTCCGGTTGGGCCGGTAGGCAGGCTCTCCGCTGGGCTGGAAGGCAGGCTCCCCGTTGGCCGGGCTGGAGGGCAGGCTCCCCGCTGGGCTGGTCGACAGGCTCTCTTGGGCTTCCACTCCTTCCGACGGCTCTACTGGGTCGCCCCCGCCGTGCTAGGCGGCTGTCCCGTCTACTATGTGAGCAAGACTCTCCAGAATGCTGAGCTTCGGTACACCCCGCTCGAGAAGACAATATATGCCGCCTACATCACCGCCAAGAAGTTGACACACTACTTCCAAGCGCACCCGATCAGAATCCTGTCGGACCAACCCCTAGGTGCCGCTCTGAGGGCGCCCGGCACAACCCGGGTAGTGAAGTGGTCGATGCTCCTCAACCAATATGAGGTTGACTTCCAGCCTCGGACGTCCATCAAAGGCCAGACTCTGGCTGATTTCATTGTGGAATGCACGGCTCGAGAGGTGGCAGATAGGCAACAATGTTAAAATTACACACGCTTAACAAGAGTAAAAGAAATTAAACCACTTAAAATATATTTTCAAATGTTTGAATTTATGATTTTTTTTTGTATCAAATATAGAGGATTTTTGGAAACTTAGCTTTAGAGCTAAACGGGCCCGAATGCGTTGCTGAAAAATCAGCCCATCATCCTTGAGGAGAATCAAATTTGGTCTTAGTGTAATCTTGGTCCATCCACTTTAACGAGAGCAGACTCTTGTTCCACAGAAATTAGGTGGGTGCACATTTGAAGGCCTATCTCATGAATAGGCATGGTGATGAGGGAGACCAGCAGCGATGTCGGCGCACGGCATCCAACTGTGATTGGCGAAGAGAACGTGAGGAAGGGGGGCTGAAGCACCTTGGATTGGGATGAATTTCTTGAATTTTTTCCTACTAAAGTGATGTGAGAGATCAATAGAGGCTCTCAATGAAAGCACCAATGTTGGTCCAAAATAGGACGCTCGTAGGCTTTTGGGAAAGCTACGTACGACACTCAAGCAGGAATTAGGAAAGCAAGAACGGGAAAGTGCTAAGGGAATTTGGTAGCCAAGAATAGCTTATCTATTATTTGACTCGAACTTGCCTTTTATAGGAGATTACAAATGGTAACTGCCGAAAATACTAATGGCTAACTAATTACAACATTAATACGGAATTAAATACATAATTAAGTCACACATTAATTACTTTGGCCGTTATAGTTCCTGGTTGGCAGGTCAGCCTGGCTGGCAGGCTGGACGCTTGAGCTCCCTCCTGCTGGACTGAACGGTGGGCTTCCCGCTAGGCTGGACTCTGGAGGAAGACTTCTGACCGGGTCGGAGGCAGGCTCCCGGGTAGGCTGGAAGGCAGGCTCCCCGTTGGGCTGGAGGCAGGCTGCTGGCCGGGCTGGAAGGCAGGCTCCCCGTTGGCCGGGCTGGAGGGCAGGCTCCCAGCTGGGCTGGTCGGCAGGCTCCCCACCGGGCTGGGAGACAGGCTCTCTTGGGCTTCCGGTTGGGCCGGTAGGCGGGCTCTCCACTGGGCTGGAAGGCAGGCTCCCCGTTGGCCGGGCTGGAGGGCAGGCTCCCCGATGGGCTGGTCGACATGCTCTCTTGGGCTTCCGCTCCTTGACTGACCTGATCGGTTGGGCCGACTCAAGCTCTGGGTTGCTGGGCTTGGGCCTGCTGGTCCAAGTTCGGGGCCTGAGCCGATTAGGCTCTGGGCCTTGTCCCATAACCCCATCACACAAAATAGGACGCTCGTAGGCTTTTAGGAAAGCTACGAAAGAACACTCAAGCAGGAAAATAGAAAGCAATGCGAATAAGGAAAGTTGCTAGAGAGTTTGATAGTCAGAAATAACATGTAGAAATTGCTTCCCCTAATCTGAATTACAACCCGCCTTTTATAGGCTTATACAAATCGTAACCGTTACCGATAATAATGACTAATTAATTACAACATTAATACGGAATTAAATACATAATTAATAGCGCATTAATTGTTCGACCGTTACTCTTCCGGGCTAGGAGGTCGGTCGGATTGGCAGGCTCCCTGCCGGGTTGGCAGACAGGCTCCAGGTTATGAACTTGGATCCATGGGTCCAAGTTCGGGTCTTGGGCTGATTAGGCTCTGGGCCTAGTCCCATTACTCCATCACGAGTCCCCCACTCCCTTAGTCGAGTAGTAGACTCGACTAAGAGGGAGTAGTCCAAGTCAGTTGCTCTTCTTCGAGACTAGAAAATCCCTGTCCTTATCCATGTTGGGGAGATGCCTCATTAAAAACCTTCATTAGAAAAAAACTCAATGGGAAAAAATCCTAATGAAGGGAAAAAGAGTACATCTGACGCCCCAAGATGAAGCAAGAGGTGAGATCCTCAGCCTTTATTGCAATGATCGCCATCTGCCAATAGGACGGCTAGAACTGTTCTTCTCGTCGGACTCAGACTCGTCAGGTTTGTCATTTGCTTCCTTGAAGACGGTATGACCCTCAGTCCCCCACTTCATTCAGTTAAACCTACACATAAAAGAAACTAGTGTAGAATAGAGCATCTGGCCTGGTGTCGAACCACGTCTCGGTGTGTAAGTGAGTCAGACTCACTATTTGAAAAGAACGACATCAAGTTCCTAAGTTAGGCCTCAACCCAGTCTCCGAAAGAAAGATTGAATCCGCGAGTAAGTGAGTCGGACTCCTCACTCGAATGGATAATCCAACCCCAAAGAACTAAAGTATATCAACCTTTTCGAGAAACATGAATGTCAATTAAGTGACAAAATTGCTCGGAAGAGCGTGGCTCTAGGCCCCTAATAAGAGTTTAACTCGCCGCCCGAGGTTAGTAGTTCGAACCCGCAAGTAAAAACTTTTGAACGGGTGACTCATCCCCCGAGGCCGGAGTGTGATGCACTATGAAGAGGTAAGAGCACACGCAAGAACTCGTAAGAAGTCAAGAGTGTGAGGTATTAACATTTAGATCGGAGCTTATTAATTGTCACACCCATATGACGTGACCCGGTGGTGCGAGTGTGTGTGCTCGGCCATTGTACGAGTGTGTGTGCTCGTCCGGCGTACTTGAGTGATCAGATGTCATAAGTCCGTGTTTCAATGTTAAAACTACACACGTTAAACAAGAGTAAAAGCAATTAAATCACTTAAAATATCTTTTCCAATGATTCAATTTGTGATTTTTTTAATCATATATTTCGCAAGCAGTAATTTAGTATACTTAGTAACTTAGCTTTCTTTTTGAAGTGGGACTATTAGAAGTCGATCGTGCACAACCACCATTCCATGATTTTGAATCTTTGATATATCCCAACCCTAGTCCTGCTACTGCTAGCGGAAGAACAACATAGCAACTCACATCAATTAAAGGCCATACTACAGTCTGAGGACATCGACTCACTGTGAGAAGTCAAACTTCTCGCTTGCTAATTCAATTCGCTGGATAACCGAGGACAGACCGACAGAGCAGAAGAGTTCTCACCAGCGACCGTGAGAGAGGTCAGTCTGGGGAGTTGAGGCCGGAGATTGGCAGGCCTGGTGGCAGTGCGGCGGAGTTGGATTAGCGGGCTGCTATGGCATATGAGTCCTTGCCTCGGTGACCGTCGTTCGATGGGGATCCATATTCCAGTTGCTCCGTGACTCCAGACGCAGCGAAGAATTGGTGAGGTCGCAGACCAAGGTGCAAGTAGTGTCTCCCAACATCGCTGGCAAGGACTGAGACAACGGTAGGCGCTTCAGCGCACAGCGGCGGCTGGGATGACGATGACAAATCCGCCTCAGGAAGAATTCAGATCTGGGTCTTCTGGAGCAGCGACATCTTCTTCAGCTGCGACGCTATCGTCTTAGGAGCATATTTTGTAAATCCCATATTTTTTGTGTTTTCTCTCATTTTTTCTGAAATTTCCAGTTGAATTCCTACTCAAGCGATGTGAGAGACAATAGAGGCTCTCAATGAAAGCACCAATGTTGGTCCAAAATAGGACGCTCGTAAGCTTTTGGAAAAGCTACGTACGACACTCAAGCAGGAATTAGGAAAGCAAGAACGGGAAAGTGCTAAGGGAATTTGGTAGTCAAGAATAGCTTATCTATTATTTGACTCGAACTTGCCTTTTATAGGCGATTACAAATGGTAACTGCCGAAAATACTAATGGCTAACTAATTACAACATTAATAAGGAATTAAATACATAATTAAGTCACACATCAATTACTTTGGCCGTTATAGTTCCTGGTTGGCAGGTCAGCCTGGCTGGCAGGCTGGACGCTTGAGCTCCCTCCTGCTGGACTGGACGGTGGGCTTCCCGCTAGGCTGGAGGAAGACTTCTGACCGGGTCGGAGGCAGGCTCCCGTGTAGGCTGGAAGGCAGGCTCCCTGTTGGGCTGGAGGCAGGCTGCTGGCCGGGCTGGAAAACAGGCTCCCCAAAGGCCGGGCTGGAGGGCAGGCTCCCAGTTGGGCTGGTCGGTTGGCTCCCCACCGGGCTGGGAGGCAAGCTCTCTTGGGCTTCCGGTTGGGCCGGTAGGCAGGCTCTCCGTTGGGCTGGAAGGCAAGCTCCCCGTTGGGCGGGCTGGAGGGCAGGCTCCCCGCTAGGCTGGTCGACAGGCTCTTTTGGGCTTTCGCTCCTTGACTGACCTGATCGATTGGGCCGACTCAAGCTCTGGGTTGCTGGGCTTGGGCCTGCTGGTCTAAGTTCGGGGCCTGGGCCGATTAGGCTTTGGGCCTAGTCCCATAACCCCATCACGAGCCCCCACTCCCTTAGTCGAGTAGTAGACTCGGCTAAGAGGGAGTTGTTCAAGTCAGCTGCTAATTAAAAAATATTCATATATCAGGGAGCCATAATTGTGGATTTTGTCAATCCCATAATTTATGGAGATTTCCAAATTTTGAATAAGGCGCCCAACTTTAAAAAGGCTCCGAATTAATTCCCTCAGCGCTCTAGCATTCCAGCAGCAAGCTTTCTCCCAGACTTCAGGATCCAGGTCAGCTTCAAAAAATCCCTGAAATTCATTATTATTATTTCAAAAATTATTTTCGGACTTTATATTATTATCCCTTCCTTTTCTTTTCTTTCCTTTTCTTTTCTTTCCTTCTTTTTTTTTCTTTCCTTTTCTTTTCTTTTCCTTTCTTTCCTTTTTTCTCTTTCCTTTTCTCTTTCCTGGTTTCCTGCGTGCGTCCTCCATGCGTCGCCCCAACGCCGCAGCTTCCCGCCGAACTGACTGAACGCCACTTCCCTTCCGACGGCTCTACTGGGTCGCCCCCGCCGTGCTAGGCGGCTTTCCCGTGCTCTCCACCGCTGGCCAGCACCGCCCTGGCAGTCCGACAAATCTGGCCGGCTAGTCTGGACTCCTGCCACGTCCGGCTGGTGCACCTCGCATGGGTCGGAGGCCACCCCAGCTGGTCACCGTCTCCCAAAGGTTGGCGTCTCGGCGGCTGGGCGCCCCACTTGTCCGGTGTTCAGGTTGTCCGGAGAGCCGCCACCTCGTTCTTCCGCCGCCGGTCGTTGCCGACCGCCGCCGCCTATGAATCTGCTAGCCAAGCGTCCGGGTAAAGCTTAGGGTCCGGGTTGAGTGGCATCGTCTCTCTATTGGCCGGGAAAGCTGCTGGGGCATACGGGTAGCCGCCATGCGTTCTTCCTCCTTGGGTTGGCGGAAATCTATGCATACGTAGGATAGGCAGCGATGATGACCGGATCCACCTTACTGTCGGCTGCCGGCGGTGCTGGTCCCCCCTAGTTGGGCGATGGGCCAGGATAGATTTTCTTTCCCCCAGGGTTCCGCGTTGCTCGGCGTTTGATGCTTGGTTGTTTTCCTTCTATGTTTTGTCTTTGCAGGTTTGACTTTCTCCCGGAGATGGCTCCAGCTAGGCGGACCACTACTGTTGAGGGTCGGCAACTGAGCGTTCCACATAGAGCGCGGGCACAACATGTGGTCATGTCAGATTCCGACGATGACTTTGGTGCTCGGCAGGACCTGAACCTTTGGTGGGACCTTGATAATAGCGGAATAACGAACCTCCCCCCTCGTATCCAAGACGAGGACCTTGCCGTTGCATACAGTTTGATTGGCCATGATTGTTTGTTGGAATCTCCGGGGGCTACTGACATATTGAGCAATCCACCAACTCCCTACTTCGGGGTCCATATCCACTCTCTGGAGTTAGGGATGGTCGTGCCACTGCACCCCTTCCTGGTTCGGTTCCTACACTTTCTGGGTGTGGCCCCGGGTCAATTGGCTCCGGCGGCTCACATGTTCGTTGCAGCTTTTGTGACGCGGTGTGAGGATGTGGGTCTCACACCCACGATTGATCTGTTTTTCAGCTGCTTCCGGTGGCGTGCTTCTAGCTTTTTCGCCTTACTCTCCCAGAGGCCGGTGAGCAAACTGTTTTGGTCGGGTTACCCCCGTTTGGGGAAGGGGTGGAAGAAGAGATGGATATGGGTATCCGACCCCAACCTCCCGTCACCTCTGCCTCAGTGGGGTGAACGGGTTCGGAAATGTGACCGGGTCGCTCTCTCCTCTGGTCTCAAGTCCTCCATCGAGATATTGTCCGCAGGCGGTCCCCACTCCATCAGCTCATATTTAGGTGATTGTCACCTCCCTGCTCTATGTTTGCTACTTTGTATTTTATTTTGCTTATCCTCACATTTTTCTTCCGCAGTTGTGCCTGAGAAGCTCGTTGTTGAGGCGGAATCCGATGAAGAGGAGGAGCCTCAATAAGTCATCGTTCCTGTGGCAGCAATGGCTGCAAAGGGGAAAGGGCACGGAGCCCCCCTCTAAGAAGGGTGAGAGTTACCTTCGGGCCTCGGCCAACTACGCCAGTGCAGGAGCAGCACAAGGGCGGACTCGTCGACCTGCTAGTCAAATTGGATGTGTCCGATGAGGAGGAGCCCTGCCCAGCCGTCGCTGATGTGGCCCCCAAGACGGTTGTGGGGAAAGAGCGCGGAGCCTCCTCCCCGGGCCGAGGGGAACGAATCTCGAAGAAGGCCAAAGTCGCCCCCAAGTTTCATTCCACTGAGCAGGTACATGAGGGTGCAGATGAGAGGATGGTCGAACGGATCAGCCATGACACCCAGCATACAGTTACTTACGCCTTCCCATCTTCGAGTGCCTCGATTATGCATGAAGGCTTCAGCGTGACGCTGACGAAGCTAGGGCTGCCCTGTGGGCCAGCCAGAAAGCCTTCCCCGAGCTGCAGTCCTCACGTGCACAAGAATGTGAAGAAGCGGCCAAACAAGGAGTCAAAAAAGCGCTCCCCGAGTTCCAGGCCTCCGAGCAGTTCTAGAAGATCATCTCTGCGAGGGTGCAAGCGGAACAGTCTGAACTAGTGCAGAGTATTGGCGACGACCCCCGACGGAGAGTATTGGCGCGTTTGCGAAGTCCTCTATGCTTTTCAGAGTGGCAAGTATTTGATGCAGCAGAAGGTGTATGGCCGGTTGAAGAATCTCGACCCTGACTTTCATCCATCTATATTGGGCCTTCCTGGTCGCATGAAGAAACCCGTGGAGGCGATAGCCCTTTTTCCCCCCAGAGGCCGTCCGTCAGGAGGAGGAGCTTGGTAGTTCGAACGAATGGGCCTGGTTCTTTCCGCCAGCTCCGGGGAACATGACTCCTGTGGCCCCCGGCCAGGACTTGGTTGGTGTGTTAGATGATGTTCCCAAGGTTGATGGTGATGGGTATGTCCAGCCATGACCTTGTATTTTGTATTTCCTTTGTTTCCCACTTGAATACTTTGTGTTTCGAATGGATGTTTGATTTTTTCTTCATACGCCTCCTTTTCTATACTTTGCATTACGAATAGTTAGCAATTTATTCGGGGATCTGGCTTCTCTAACCTCCCGGGGAGTGGTTAGGCTGGCGTGGCCGAGCCTATCCGTGCCCCTCCTAGTTGGGTAGAAGTGATCTGTTCGCTATTGATATGGAATCAACAAGTAAGCGACTTGTTTGGCCAGCAAGGTCGGACATTGAACCGACGAGGAAGACCCTTAGGTCGGTATCCTGAACGTTCATGACCCGGGGGTCAGTCCTACTGTCACTTTAACCCGTCCAGTTTGCCCGGACTTGGGGAATAATCTGGTTATTCCCGCATGGATAGCCGAACAACAGGGGCGGACCCTGCATGATTCACCAGAACGAACCCGCACCGCCAACTCAAGGATGACGAGAGTGCGAGCTGCTTGACCAGTGATGTTAGGCGGCGAGCACTCGAAAGGACCCGGAGGTCAGCATCCTTTGTACCCTCGACCCGGAGGTCGGCCCTACCGTCGCCTCGACTGTCGTGACTAGCTCTTTACTTTAGAAAATTGCTCGGATTCTTGAAAATCGCTTGGCTATTTTCAGTTAAAGAGCCTGGCCGAGGTCGGCCAAACACCGAGGGGGGGCATAGTACTTTTTTTTGTCGCCGCCCTTTATTGCTAAGTGAGGTCGGACCTCTTTTGAAGACAAAATATCGCTAGGAAAGTATATTGAATTCATGATGTGGGCGGACCACATGAATAATTACAAATTGTAATCCCGTGCTCGAAGCACAGGAGTACAAAGAAAAGTGAAACTTCGATTTTCTATTGGTAAAACTTCATCAGGTGATCGGCATTCCTGACGCGGTCTACCAACCGGCCTGTTTTTGTCTTCAACTTGTATGTCCCAGGGTCGATCACTGCGTCAACCACGTAAGGGCCTTCCCACTTGACGGAGAGCTTACCTCCCTTTGTCGGCCTGCTGGCCTTCCTACGTCTTAGGACATAATCACCGACGTCAAAACTCCGGGGTCGGGCTCGGCTGTCTTGGTACGCCTTGACTTGTCGTCGATAGTTTTCCGCTTTGATGAAGGCACGGTCTCTTCTTTCCTCAATGAGGTGGAGCTCGGCTCGGAGCCTCTCCTCATTGCTGGCTGGTTCAAATTCTTTCAATCGCCGGCTGGGAACTACGGCCTCGAACGGTGCCCTCGCCTCAAAGCCATAACACAAGGCAAAGGGGGTTTCTCCGGTTGCCTTCCTTGGGGTTGTTCTGAAGGTCCAGATTATATTGTTCAACTCCTCCACCCAGGCAGTCCCGAGGGCCTCCAACTTCTTTTGCAATCCATCGACGATCGTCCGGTTGGTGTTCTCCACCTGTCCATTTGCCTGGGGGTAGCAGGCCGCAACTCGGCTGGATTCTACGCCCCACTCTGCACAGAATTGCCGAAAGGCTTCACAGTCAAACTGCCTTCCGTTGTCGGAGATTATTTGGAGGGGAATCCCAAATCGGCATAAAATATTCTTCCATATGAACTTCTTACATTGGAGATGTGTGATGCTGGTAAGCGGCTCGGCCTCAACCCACTTCGTAAAGTAGTCCACCGCGACGATGACAAATGGTGCCTTTCCCACGGAGGGGGATTGAGCCAAATCCTGAGAAGGTAAGGGCAATACTTGACATGGAACTCCCGAGGTCGGTGAAAGAAGTCCAGATTCTCACCGGCCGGCTAGCAGTCCTTGGACGCTTCATGTGCAAGTCCGCCGAGAAGTCCCTACCCTTCTTCCAGCTCCTAAAGAAACAAAATGGTTTCATCTGGAATGATGAATGTCAGCGAGCCTTCGACGACCTGAAGAAGTACCTCCTCTCTGAGCCTTTACTCAGCAAGCCGGAGAGGGGGGAGACGTTAATCCTTTATCTTGGGGTTTCCCAAGGCACAATCAGTTATGTGCTGGTTCGCGAGGAGGAAGGCGTTCAGCGTCCCGTCTACTATGTGAGCAAGACCCTCCAGAATGCTGAGCTCCGGTACACCCCGCTCGAGAAGACAATATATGTCGCCTACATCACCGCCAAGAAGTTGACACACTACTTCCAAGCGCAGCCGATCAGAATCCTGTCGGACCAACCCCTAGGTGCCGCTCTGAGGGCGCCCGGCACAACCCGGATAGTGAAGTGGTCGATGCTCCTCAACCAATATGAGGTTGACTTCCAGCCTCGGACGTCCATCAAAGGCCAGGCTCTGGCTGATTTCATTGTGGAATGCACGGCCCGAAAGGTGGCAGATAGGCAACAAGAGAGCAATGAACAGTGGTGGACTCTAGCGACTGATGGGTCAACAGAAGCCAAGGGATGCGGGGGCGGAATCGTCCTCATCTCACCCGAGGGATTCCGAGCCTACTATGCCTACCGCTATCTTTTCAAAGTCTCCAACAATGAGGTGGAGTACGAGGCCCTAGTATCTGGGCTACGACTGGCAGCCGCCATGGGAGCAGAGTGGATAATGGTGAAATGTGACTCCCGCCTGGTGGTTTCCCAGGTAAAAGGTGAGTTCGAAGCGAAGGGAGAAAGAATGATGAAGTACCGAGATGCTGTTTGGGAGTTGCTCGGGTTGTTCAAGCAAGCAGAGTTGATCTGCATCCCAAGAAATCAAAACTCCGATGCAGACCTCCTCTCAAAGCTATCCCATGGGTTGCCTGAACACATATCGAGAATTGCACGCATTGAGGAGATGACGACCTCAAGCATATCAGCCTCACGGTCCATTGATGTCCTTCCCCTGCAACCAGTCGCCTGGTGTTGAGTGGATGACCTCCTGCGCTACATAGCTGACGGGACGCTCCCCAATAAAGAAGAGGAGGCAAGGTTAGTCCGACGACGAGCTCCGGGCTACGTCGTCTTGGATGGGAAAGTGTACAAGAGGTCCTACAATGGGACCTTGCTAAAGTGTTTACGCCCACATGAGGCGGACATGATCGTCTCTGAACTCCATGGGGGCGTGTGCTCCGCCCACCAGGGGGCAGGCACGTTAGCTAGGAAGGTCGTCCTCCAGGGGTACTTTTGGCCAACAATAATGAAGGATTGCGCTGACTATGCAAGGAAATGCGAGACATGCCAGAAGTTCCAGAAGAGCCTCAGCCGACCAGCAACGATGTACACACCGATCAGCACCGCCCTTCCATTCACAAGATGGGGCGTCGACCTGGTCGGTCCCTTACCAATCGGGTCGGCAAACCGGAAGTTTGGTCATCGTCACGGTGAACTACTTTACGAAGTGGGTTGAGGCCGAGCCGCTTGCCAGCATCACACATCTCCAATGTAAGAAGTTCATATGGAAGAATATTTTCTGCCGGTTTGGGGTTCCCCTCCAAATAATCTCCGACAACGGAAGGCAGTTTGACTGTGAAGCCTTCCGGCAATTCTGTGCAGAGTGGGGCGTAGAATCCAGCCGAGTTGCGGCCTGCTACCCCCAGGCAAATGGACATGTGGAGAACACCAACCGGACGATCGTCGATGGATTGCAAAAGAAGTTGGAGGCCCTCGGGACTGCTTGGGTGGAGGAGTTGAACAATATACTCTGGACCTTCAGAACAACCCCAAAGAAGGCAACCGGAAAAACCCCTTTGCCTTGTGTTATGGCTTTGAGGCGAGGGCACTGTTCGAGGCCGTAGTTCCCAGTCGGCGAGTGGAAGAGTTTGAACCGGCCAGCAATGAGGAGAGGCTCCGAGCCGAGCTCCACCTCATTGAGGAAAGAAGAGACCGTGCCTTCATCAAAGCGGAAAACTATCGACGACAAGTCAAGGCGTACCAAGACAGTCGAGCCCGACCCCAGAGTTTTGACATCGGTGATTATGTCCTAAGACGTAGGAAGGCCAGCAGGCCGACAGAGGGAGGTAAGCTCTCCGTCAAGTGGGAAGGCCCTTACGTGGTTGACGCAGTGATCGACCCTGGGACATACAAGTTGAAGACAACAACAGGCCGGTTGGTAGACCACGTCTGGAATGCCGAGCACCTGATGAAGTTTTACCAGTAGAAAATCGAAGTTTCACTTTTCTTTGTAAACTCCTGTGCTCCGAGCACGGGATTACAATTTGTAATTCTTCATGTGGCCCGCCCACATCATGAATTCAATATACTTGCTAGCGATATTTTGTCTTCAAAAGAGGTCCGACCTCACTTAGCAATAAAGGGCGGCGGCAAAAAAAAGAAGTACTATGCCCCCCCTCGGTGTTTGGCCGACCTCGGCCAGGCTCTTTATCTGAAAATTTCCAAGCGATTTTCAAGAATCCGGGAAATTTTCTAAAGTAAAGAGCTAGCCGCGACAGTTGAGGTGACGGTAGGGCCGGCCTCCGGGTCGGGGGTACTCAGGATGTTGACCTCCGGGTCCTTTCGAGTGCTCGCCGCCTAACATCGTTGGCCAAGCAGCTCGCACTCTCATCATCCCTGAGTTGGCGGTGCGGGTTCGTTCTGGTGGATCATTCAGGGTCCGCCCCTGCTGTTTGGCTATCCACGAGGGAGTAACCAGATTAATCCTCAAGTCTGGGCAAACTGGACGGGTTAAAGTGACAGTAGGACTGACCCCCGGGTCATGAACGTTCAGGATACCGACCTAAGGGCCTTCCTCGTCGGTTCAATGTCCGACCTTGCTGGCCAAACAAGTCGCTTACTTGTTGATTCCATATCAATAGCGAACAGATCACTTCTACCCAACTAGGAGGGGCACGGATAGGCTCGGCCATGCCAGCGTAACTGCCCCCCGGGAGGTTAGAGAAGCTAGATCCCCGAATAAATTGCTAAGTATTCGTAATGCAAAGTATAGAAAAGGAGGCGTATGAAATAAAAATCAAACATCCATTCGAAACACAAAGTATTCAAGTGGGAAACAAAGGAAATACAAAATACAAGGTCATGGCTGGACAGACCCATCGCCATCAACCTCGGAAACATCATCTAACACACCAACCAAATCCTGGCCGGGGGCCACAGGAGTCATGTTCCCCGGAGCTGGCGGAAAGAACCAGGCCCATTCGTTCGAACTACCAAGCTCCTCCTCCTGACAGACGGCCTCTGGGGGAAGAAGGGCTATCGCCTCCACGGGTTTCTTCATGCGACCAGGAAGGCCCAGTGTGGATAGATGAAAGTCAGGGTCGAGATCCTTCAACCGGCCATACACCTTCTGCTGCATCAAACACTTCCCACTCTGAAAAGCATAGAGGACTTCGCGAGCGCGCCAATACTCTCCGTCGGGGGTCGTCAGCCACCTCTGCACTAGTTCAGACTGTTCCGCTTGCACCCTCGCAGAGATGATCTTCTTGAACTGCTCGGAGGCCTGGAACTCAGAGAGCGCTTTCTTGGCTCCTTGTTTGGCCGCTTCTTCACATTCTTGTGCACGCAAGGACTGCAGCTCGGAGAAGGCTTTCTGGCATGCCCAGAGGGCAGCCCTAGCTTCGTCAGCCTCACGCTGAAGCCTGGCCTGAGAATGATTGGCCGTGTGGAGTGCCCTGATGGTCTTGGCGAGCCCTTGCAATATAGACAAACGAAAATGTGAGGGGGTTCAGGGATAAACACAATCCACGTCAAGACGTGATCAACCTACCTCAATATGTGACCGGATATAACCCTCCAAGAGGGGATGAAACTCTTGGAAATTCGTACAGGTGAGGTCGCCTGGTGGGAGGATTGATGAAGCATAATCCACGACCGGGAAGCCTTCATGCATAATCGAGGCACTCGAAGATGGGAAGGCGTAAGTAATTGTATGATGGGTGTCATGGCTGATCCGTTCGGCCATCCTCTCATCTGCACCCTCATGTACCTGCTCAGCGGAATGAAACTTGGGGGCGACCTTGGCCTTCTTCGAGACTCGTTCCCCGCGGCCCGGGGAGGAGGCTCCGCGCTCTTTCCCCGCAACCGTCTTGGGGGCCACATCAGCGACGGCTGGGCAGGGCTCCTCCTCCTCATCGGACCCATCCAATTTGACTAGCAGGTCGACGAGTCCGCCCTTGTGCTTCTCCTGCACTAGCGTAGTTGGCCGAGGCCCGAAGGTAACTTTCACCCTTCTTGGAGGGGGGGCTCCGTGCCCTTTCCCCTTTGCAGTCGTTGCTGCCACAGGAACGATGACTTGTTGAGGCTCCTCCTCTTCATCGGATTCCGCCTCAACAACGAGCTTCTCAGGCACAGCTGCGGAAGAAAAATGTGAGGATAAGCAGAATAAAATACAAAGTAGCAAACATAGACCAGGGAGGTGACAATCACCTAAATATGAGCTGATGGAGTGGGGACCGCCTGCGGACAATATCTCGATAGAGGACTTGAGACCAGGGGAGAGAGCGACCCGGTCACATTTCCAAACCCGTTCACCTCACTGAGGTAGAGGTGACGGGAGGTTGGGGTCGGATACCCATATCCATCTCTTCTTCCACCCCTTCCCTGAACGGGGGTAACCCGACCAAAACAGTTTGCTCATCGGCCTCTGAGAGAGTAAGGCGAAAAGTTAGAAGCACGCCACTGGAAGCAGCTGAAAAACAGATCAATCGTGGGTGTGAGGCCCACATCCTCACACCGCGCCACAAAAGCTGCAACGAACATGTGAGTCGTCGGAGCCAATTGACCTCTGAGGCCACACCCAGAAAGTGAAGGAACCGAACCAGGAAGGGGTGCAGTGGCACGGCCATCCCTAACTCCATAGAGCGGATATGGACCCCGACGTAGGGAGTTGGTGGATTGCTCAATATGTCAGTAGCCCCCAGAGATTCCAACAAACAATCATGGCCAATCAAACTGTATGCAACGGCAAGGTCCTCGTCTTGGATACGAGGGGGGAGGTTCGCTATCCCGCTATTATCAAGGTCCCACCAAAGATTCGGGTCCTCCCGAGCACCAGAGTCATCGTCGGAATCTGACATGACCACATGTTGTGCCCGCGCTCTATGTGGAACGCTCAGTTGCCGACCCTCAGCAGTAGTGGTCCGCCTAGCTGGAGCCATCTTCGGGAGAAAGTCAAACCTGCAAAGACAAAACATAGAAGGAAAACAACCAAGCATCAAACGCCGGGCAACGTGGAACCCTGGGGGAAATAAAATCCAGCCTGGCCCATCGCCCAACTAGTGGGGACCGACACCGCCGGCAGCCGACAGTAAGGTGGATCCGGTCATCATCGCTGCCTATCCTACGTATGCATAGATTTCCGCTAACCCAAGGAGGAAGAACGCATGGCGGTTACCCGTATGCCCCAGCAGCTTTGTCGGCCAAAAGAGAGACGATGCCACTCAACCTGGACCCTAAGCTCCACCTGGACGCTTGGCCAGCAGATTCCTAGGCGGGCGGCAACGCCTGGCGGCAGAAGAACGAGGTGGCGGCTCTCCGGACAACCTGAACGCCGGACAAGTGGGGCGCCCAGCCGCTGGGACACCAACCTTTGGGAGACGCTGACCAGCAGGGGTGGCCTCCGACCCATGCGAGGTGCACCAGCCGGACGTGGCAGGAGTCCAAACTAGCCGGCCATATTTGCCGGATTGCCAGGGCGGCGCCGGCCAGCGGTGGAGAGCATGGGCCAGCCGCCTAGCACGGCGGGGGCGACCCAGTAGAGCCATCGGAAGGGAAGTGGCGGTCAGTCAGTTCGGCGGGAAGCTGCGGCGCTGGGGCGACGCATGGAGGACGCACGCAGGAAACCGGGAAAGAGAAAAGGAAAGAAAGAAAAAAGGAAATAGAAAGAAAAAAAAAGAAGGAAATAAAAGGAAGGGATAATAATATAAAGTCCGAAAATAATTTTTGAAATAATAATAATGAATTTCAGGGATTTTTTGAAGCTGACCTGGATCCTGAAGTCTAGGAGAAAGTTTGCTGCTGGAATGCTAGAACGCTGAGGGAATTAATTCGGAGCCTTTTTAAAGCTGGGCGCCTTATTCAAAATTTGGAAATCTCCATAAATTATGGGATTGACAGAATCCATAATTATGGCTCCCTGATATGTGAATTTTTTTTAATTAGCAGCTGACTTTAACTACTCCCTCTTAGCCGAGTCTACTACTCGACTAAGGGAGTGGGGGGCTCGTGATGGGGTTATGGGACTAGGCTCAGAGCCTAATCGGCCCAGGCCCCGAACTTGGACCAGCAGGCCCAAGCCCAGCAACCTAGAGCTTGAGTCAGCCCAACCGATCAGGTCAGTCAAGGAGCGGAAACCCAAGAGAGCCTGTCGACCAGCCCAGCGGGGAGCCTGCCCTCCAGCCCGGCCAACGGGGAGACTACCTTCCAGCCCAGCGGAGACCCTTCCTACCGGCCCAACCGGAAGCCCAAGAAAGCCTGCCTCCCAGCCCGGTGGGGAGCCTGCCGACCAGCCCAGCTGGGAGCCTGCCCTCCAGCCCGGCCAACGGGGAGCCTGCCTTCCAGCCCGGCCAGCAGCCTGCCTCCAGCCCAACGGGGAGCCTGCCTTCCAGCCTAGCGGGAATTCCACCGTCCAGTCCAGCAGGAGGGAGCTCAAGCGTCCAGCCTGCCAACCAGGCTGACCTGCCATCCAGGAACTATAATGGCCAAAGTAATTAATGTGTGACTTAATTATGTATTTAATTCCGTATTAATGTTGTAATTAGTTAGCCATTAGTATTTTCGGCAGTTACCATTTGTAATCGCCTATAAAAGGCAAGTTCGAGTCAAATAATAGATAAGCTATTCTTGGCTACCAAATTCCCTTAGCACTTTCCCGTTCTTGCTTTTCTAATTCCTGCTTGAGTGTCGTACGTAGCTTTCCCAAAAGCCTACGAGCGTCCTATTTTGGACCAACGTTGGTGCTTTCATAACCCTCCAGTGAAGTGGGTTATGAGTGTCTCTTTATGAGAGACACAAAGGCTCTTTATGTGTGTGTGTGCTTTTTTTTGTTCAAATAAGAACATGATCTTATGAGATAAATGAGAATGAATCTGGACCGTTAGATTTGCTTTAAGTGAAATTCGGTGTGCATTAGATGAAACTGTAATGTGCATTAGATGAAATTGAAATGTGCAGTACAAATGGTACGATTCAGTGCCATTATGTGAAGATGAATTGTGCATTGGGTGAAATTGAAATGTGCACTAGGTGAAACTGAAATGTGCATAATAAAATGTATAATGTGATGTTATTTTTGTACCTTTTATTCTGCACATTTCAGTTTTAACTAATGCACATTTGAATTTAAATTTTATTTTGCACATTTCAATATCGTCTCATGCACATTTTAGTTTACCAAATGCACAATTCAGTTCCACATAATACAATCCAACGGTCCAGATTCATTCTCATTTTTCTCCTGAGAGCCCGTTCTTACCGGAACCGTTCCCTGTGTGTGTATAGAAGAGATCATGTGAGATGTGTCCCTTAAAATGAGAAGTGAGAAGTAATCTTAGCCCTTTGATTTGTATCTGATTTACAACGCAGTAAACTTAGAGCCACCGCGTCAAAAAAATCAAGGTTTCCGAAGTTATTTTTTGCGGTGGCATTTTCGTAATTATTTTCGAGGGTCTATAAGTTATGATTTATTGGTTAAAAGTTCCTATGTTTAGTCTATAAGTTTAACTTCTCAGTTTTAGGCTGAGAAGCTGCGAAGTCTAACTTATAAGCTAAAAACATGAACTTTTAACCAAAAAATCATAACTTATAGACCCTCTCAAAAACATGAACTTTCTGTGAAAATTTTTTCCAGGTTTTTGGAGTTATTTTGAAGCGGTAGCATTTTCGTAATTTTTTTGGAGGGAATCTATAAGTTATGATTTATTGGTTAAAAGTTCGTGTTTTGAGCTTATAAGTTATACTTCGCAGCTTATCAGCCTAAGGGGGACTTCTCACATGATCTTCTCTCTCTCTCTCTCTCTCTCTCTCTATATATATATATATATATATATATATATATATATATATATATATATTGAGATGTCTTCATTGATATACCTGAAGGTATATTTATTTCCACTTCAAATGTTCCTATTACTTCAATTGTTGCTAGCACATATCCATCATTTCTAGAGAATATGATTGATCTGTCATATTTTTAGCAAATGTCTATTTTGACACGTACAGATGATGTTGTTGAGCTTATCAATAAGTATATGATTTCATCGATGTATGGAGAAATGAACCCATATTTGAGTAATGATAGGCCATACTCGATCACTTCAAGGCAATATAGATGTTGAATTCGAAGAAGTGCGTATTTAAAAGTTCTTGAACACCATCATGGCATCAAGTATATCAAACCATAAATTTGAAATGTAGGTTGAGTTTCTTATTATGCTAATGAGAAAAAAATGATTGATCTTCTAACTTATATTTTGGAGGCGAAAGTTAATTATACTTGACAAAAATATTGGTCAAAAGGTTTTAATTTCGATGTTATCTTTCATCTCATTGGATATCATGATTCCTTTCAAATTTGAATTCATTCATTTCCAAATCATCATTTCATTTGTCACAATAATAAGATAAGTCAATTAGAATCTCTGCATTAAGCAACATATATCTACCAATTTTTTTTACACATAGTCAATTGAGCACTGTCATGTCAAGGGTTACCTTAAGAATCATGTTGTACGTTGTCATGTTAAGGATCACCTTAAGAAGTGAGTTGAACATTCTTATATGTGATTAAGAGAGTCGTGCTGTCAACGTCATTGATTATATGATCTATAAAGAACTTTTCTAAAAGCTATGATTCTTTTTGTATAGTGTCAACATATATGACAATTAATTTTGATAAAGCTTCCTTAGGGTCATTGAATGAGAGACTTAAATTGTGGAATCATGGTATTTCATTATCAAGTAGTACTTATTCTTACATCTTACCCTTTATTTTAAGTTTACTTGCAATTTTTCATACGATTAACATTTTCCTTTTTCCTACGAACTATCACTATACTTCCTCCGGTCCTAAATAAAATTCAGTGTTTGACTTCACACAAATTAAGGAAATAAATTTGACTTTACTATAGAGTACACTGTTGTGACACTGTTGGAATTGTTTGGCACTATTTTGCATTGTTTACCATTGTTTTGCACTGTTTTGATGTAGATAATTTGCCAAATGAGGAAGGGAGAAGAAGTGTGAACTTTAATTTGGACCGATCCAAAAAGGAAAGTGAACTTTATTTAGGAACAGAGGGAGTATAACCAAAGTTAAAACATACGGAGTATAAGTTCAACTATATTTTTTATTCAAAATAGTTACATATTGCGTATCATCATAATCAAAGTTAATTTTAAACAAATTGTTATTCTGTTCTAGATGCACCCATGCATCGCACGGGTATTGCGTCTAGTATATATATAGAAATTCTCTGGTCCAACAGCCCCCGGTCCGAACGCCGTCCGAGCACCGCTGTTTGGACCGGTTCCCGGCGGAATTTTTTGATGAAATTTTTTAAGCATGTTCCTCATCAAGTTTAGTTTATCCATAGCAAATTTCAGCTCAAAATTCGATCAAGAAGGCAGTCAAATAATTCGTTGAAGTTAATTGCGCCAAATTATACATAGAAAAACGAAGTTAACTTCAACGAATTATTTCACTACCTTCATGATAGAATTTTAAGCTGAAATTTGGACGACGGTGTTCGGACGACGTTCGGACAGAAAGCTGCTGGACAGGAGAATATATATATATATATATATATATATATATATATATATATATATATATATATATATTTGGCGCAATTAACTTCAACGAATTATTTGACTGCCTTCCTGATCGAATTTTGAGCTGAAATTTGCTATGGATAAACTAGACTTGATGATGAACATGCTCAAAAAATTTCATCAAAAAATTCCACCGGGAACCAGCCCAAACGGCGGTGTTCGGACGGCGTTCGAACCGAGAGGTGCTGGACCTGAGAATTTCTATATACTCCCTCCGTTCTTTTTTAGTTGCAACGGTCAACATTTCACATTTACCAACGCACGTCTTTGATCGTAATTATATCTTAATTCTATTAGTAAAATAATATTAAAAATCAGATTTTGAAAATTTGTAATGAGATGAATTAAACAATGTTTTTTTTAAAAGGGAAAATCACACTTTTAGTCCCTGAAATAGTTACTATATTGAAATGTCAGACCTATGTTCCTCAGTTTGTAAATGTCACCCCTCAATTGTCCAAATTGATGTAAATGTGGTCCTTAGAGGGGTAAAATGTACAATGTGGGCGAGGAGTACATTTCACCCCTCAAAGGACCACATTTACAACAATTTGGAAAATTGAGGGGTGACAATTACAATCTCACAAATACAGATCTGACATTTCAATATGGTGATTATTTCAGGGACTAAAAGTGCGATTTTCCCTTTTAAAAATATAATTTTCATAAAATAACAGTGTAAAATGTAGTCAAAGTAAAACATGTGAATAGTGTAAAATTCAACATGTTGCGATTAAAACAGAACGGAGGATAGTATATATATAAGGAGTGGATCAGGTGAGAAGTGCCCTTAGGCTGAGAACTGCGAAGTTTAACTAATAGACTAAAAACACGAACTTATAACCCATAAATCAGAACTTATAGACCCCGTCGAAAATATTTACGAAAATTTCACCGCAAAAAATAAGCCTCGAAACCTTGAAAATTTTTGGACGCGGTGGCATTTTCGTAATTATGATGGAAAGCTTTATAAGTTATGATTTATTGGTTATAAGTTACTATATTCAGTCTATAAGTTTACTGCGTTGCAAGATCACATGCAAATCCAAGGGCTGAGATTACTTCTAAATTCTCATTTTAAGGGGCACTTCTCACCTGATCATTTCTATATATATATATATATATATATATGTATATATGTGTGTGTGTGTGTAGGGGAAGAGTTCAAATAAAAATACCTCTTCCCGTGCAAAGTGCGAAAATATGCACTTTTGCATGTTTCGCTTGCACTTTTGCGTGTTTCTGTTGCACTTTTTCGCGGTAATGAAAAAGTGCAACATATTTACGAAATTACCACCGCAGTTTTGGTCGAATTTTGTGCATTTTTGGCTCATTTTGAGCCATTAGATGTGGAAATGAATGTACAAGATTCATTCTCACTTTGCATGGGAAAAGGTCTTTGTATTTGAACCATCCCTTATATATATATATATATATATATATATATATATATATATATATATATATATATATATATATATATATATATATAAGACCTGGTGTTGAACCGAAACCCGAGAGTTTTGGGGTGAGGGCCAGAGAACACCTCACCTATTTGTTTAATTTAAAAAATACGGGTAGGAGGGCTATACGGCTATACCAAAGCCTTCTTCGAAAATTAAACATAAGGATAACTAATAGCGTCAAATTTTAGGATGCCAACAAAGAGACTAAAATGATGAGTTCTGGTTTTAATCAAGGTGCTATGATAAGCCAAGTATTCCGCTGCCCTATTGATCTGAGGTTTGACAATGGTTATGGTCCAATTGAGATTTCAGAATTTAGCTTTTATTGTACTGATGTGTGACCAAAGCTTCCAATGTTGAAACTTTAATATATATATAGAATTAATCTCGTGCATTCATTTCGAGATCTAATGGCTCAAAATGAGGCAAAAGTGAACTAAATTTGATCAAAAATGTGGTGGCAATTTCGTAATTAAAACAAAGTTTTTTGCCACTGAAAAGTGCAACAGAAACACGCAAAAGTGAAACTCGATAAGGAAAAGGTGCATTCGTTCGGACTTTGCACGGGAGAACCTCTTTTTATTTGATCTCTTCCTATATATATATATATATAGGGAACGATTCCGGTAAGAACGGATCTTAGGAGAGAAATGAGAATGAATCTGGACCGTTGGATTGGATTATGTGGAACTGAATTGTGCATTTGATGAAATCGAAATGTGCATTAGATGATATTGAAATGTGCAGAATTATAATTTAAACTCACGTGTGCATTAGGTGAAACTGAAATGTGCAGAATAAAAGGTACAAAAATAACATCACATCGTACCTTTTATTCTGCACATTTTAGATTCATCTAGTGCACATTTTAGATTCACCAAATGCACAATTTAGATTCACATAATGCCACTACATGGTACCATTTGTGCTGCACATTTCAATTTCACCTAATACACATTACAGTTTCATCTAATGCACATTGAATTTCGTATAAAGCAAATCTAACGATCCAGATTCATTTTCATTTTTCTCATAAGATCATGTTCTTATTTGAACCAAAACCTATATATATATATATATATATATATATATATATATGTAGGGCTGGCATTTTGAACCGAAAAACCGAAAACCGAACCGAAAATAACCGAACCGCATTGAAAAAAAACCGAACCGGACCGAACCGATAATTTTTGGGACCCGAAAATCGGGACCCGAAAAAAAATCGGTTCGGAATCGGTTTGTACTCTCAAAATATCGGTTTGGACCGAACCGAACCGATTTTTTTATTAATAATAATAATTGTTTTTATTAATTTCATTTACTAAATATACAATACCGTTGGGAGAGGATAGTGAACGTATCAAATGCTTTGGTTCGCCGGTCACGTAGTGTTTTAGCCATTCGGGTGGTCACGGGTTCGAATCCCGTGTGTGATACTTTTTAGGTTGTGATATGCGTGAAGCTTTTTTTTCTCTTCTGTGGATTTTTCATCCCACACCGGAAACAAAAGGAGTTCACTCCTCAAATGCTTCTATATAATAAGGGATGACCTCAAACTTGTAGTTGTGCTTGAATGGGTCATGTATTCCGGTCCTAGACTATCAAAGTGGACTTTAATGTACTCAAAAATCTAAATGTCAAATTTTTGGCTCATGGAATTGAATTCTAGTTCAAGTTTAATTTTTTTAGTGATATATAATTTGTATATGTCAGTTTTTTATCGGTTTTTGATAAACCGACCCGAAAAATCGGTTCCCAATAAATTGGGACCCGTTTGATGATCGGTTCGGTTTCGATTATGATATTTGGAATAACCGAAATTTCGGTTCGGTTCCAAATTTCATTGGATCGGTTCGGGTCCCGAACCGAAACCAGCCCTATATGTGTGTGTGTGTGTGTGTGTGTGTGTGTGTGTAAATAATATAGATGCAATATGTAAATATAAGTAAATAACAATTATATAATAAGTAAATAATATAAGACGTATATATTAAGTAGATAATAAATATTAGTAATATAATATATGTATTTATAAGTAGATAATTAATATAAAAGTGTGATATAATAATTGTATAAATATATGTAGAGAGAATTGGAGAAGATGAAGATGATTCAGAGTATAAAAATGTATAGAAAGCAGGATTATTTATAGAGAGTAGGGAGAGTTGAGGGTTCCACACTTCCACCAAGCGACAAATCAGGAAAGAAGAAAGAGTATACTAAAATGAAACAAAAGATTCACTTTATACATCAATGGTCATTAGATATACTTTAGATGGTGCCACATACTTAAGTTTAGCAAAACGCAGGATGGGATGGGGCACCTATTTCTCTTTTAATAATCAATCAATCAATGCCGATAATGCCTCCATCAGTTTTAACTCCTTCAAACAACAGCAGATCTAGCGATCAATGAAGGATTTGTTCATCAAATCAACTGCTGAATCCATGAACTGCCCAATGAAATACAAATTACCAACAAGATGATTTGGGAGCTGCTTTAATTTTACCTTTTGCAATAATATATTAATAGACTATGTTGCGGAGTAGTATATTTTTTACTAATCCATCCGTCCCAACAGAAAACCATATGTTCATATTATTTCACTCAAACCACAACCACAAATTGTACTTTTTCATCACTATTAATAATTATACCAAACCAGAATGAGCCACGTAAAAAAGAAAAGAAAAGATGCCTCCGATATTTCATCACTTTTTTCATACAAATGTAGTATGAAGAAAGGTGCCTACCACATGTCTTTAAGGTCAGAAGAGAAAAGAAAGTTGCCTCCAATATCTTATGCGTCTTTTCTCAGGGGCCACTATCCACAACAAATGCTTTGTGCGAAGAAACAAACACGTAATTAGCAAAAGGGACAGCTGTCAACTGTTTTTATTTAGCAGGTAAACTATGTTACGTTTTCCAATTACCGTAAGTAGCTCTGAGATGGAAATTGGAGGTACATTGAAAATGTTAAAAGTAGTACGGAGTAGAATATTAAAGGGCTTAATTAGCGAACCCTCGTGATATACAAAATCTGCACATTAGCCCTTTCTGATTAAGAAAACATGTCAAATTCCTTGTGTTACGATTAATCACGAGTCTTAATGTAATTGAACATGCAAGTAACATTGTGATGGAGTATATAATCTATCACATTGTAAGGCCTCTATATAGTAAATTATACGTGGTACAAAATACAAATCATTTTTCTTTTAATAGGCAATTAAAGTTTTTCTTACATGGGGTTTTGCACATGGTTAATATAACGTAAAGATATTTGACGCATTTTTTAAATCACGAGGGGCTAAATGAGCAGAATATCAGAATATGACGCATTTTTGCTGAATAGCTGTAGTATTGTTTCCAAGAACCAGAATATCATCAACATAGATGAGCACAAAAATCTGAGATGTAGAACATTAGAGAGGCATCACACTTTGATTGTTTGAAACCAAATGAGTATAAAGCTGAGGTAAGTTTCAGCAACCAAGCTCTGGGAGCTTGTTTTAAATCATAGATGGCTTTATTTAGCTTGCAAACAAGGGTTTTATCTGAGGATTGAAATCATGGGGGTTGCACCATGTAAACTTCTTCTTGTAGATCACCATTTAGAAATGCATTATGAACATCAAGTTGCTGTATGGTCCATGAATTAGAAATAGCAATGGATAGTAAAATTCTGATAGTTATGGGTTTAACCACAGGAGAAAAGGTTTCACTGAAATCAAATCCAAATTGTTGATGAAAACCTTTTGCAACAAGTCTAGCTTTGAATTAATTAACAGTTCCATCAGGATTTTCCTTTATCCTAAAAACACCCATTTGCACCCAATGGCATGTTTATCAGGTGGTAGAGTAGTAAGAGACCATGTATGATTGTTCATTAGAGCATTGTATTCTGTCTGCATAGCCTGAAACCATTCAGGTGAGGTAAGGGCCTGCTTAACTGATGTTGGCTCATTATAAGCAAGAAGCAAGGTTGGATTAAGTCTAGGTTTTACTATTCCTGATTTGGCTCTGGTATTCATGGGATGAGTATTATATGATGGAACTAAGGAGATAGGTGCAGTGATGATAGGTGAAGTATTGGAACTGGAAGACTCAGAAGTAAGATGAGATGACTCAGGGTTGGAATTAGCAGATTCAGAAACTGATTGAGAAAGTTTAGAAGTAAAATTAGGTGACTTAGACTTAGATTGAGATGATTGAGAGTGTAAGCTAGAAGATTCTGACTCAGAATTATTGGAAGAGGAAGAATGAGTATGGTTAGTTAAAGGTTGAGTACTATCATTGTTGTGTAGAGATACAGAGGGAGTTTATAGATTCAGAACTTGTCATAGATGAAGTGGGTAGATTATATAGAACAGTTAAGGGTGTATTTGGGATAGGATCAGATTGTGTAGTTGGAGTAGTTTTAGAAAATAGGAGAGAATAAGAGAATTTGAATTCGTTAAAAACATCTTTGGATATATATATTCTGCCAGATGCTGCAAGACATTTATAGCCTTTATGTTAAGGAGAATATCCTAAGAAAATGCATTCTTCAGAGTGCAATGCAAACTTATGTTTATTGTATGGTCTGAGAAATGGATAGCATGAGCATCCAAAGACTTTTAAAGCAGTATAATCAGGATTAGAGTTGTATAGCTTGGTGTAAGGAATTTGATTGGATATAGAGGCTGAGGGAGTTCTGTTAATAAGATGAACTGTTGTAGCAAAAGCAACATCCCAAAATTTAAAAGGAAGTGAAGAACGAGCTAAAAGGGTTAAACCTTTTTCAACAATAGACCTGTGTTTTCTTTCTACTACACCATTTTGATGGTGAGTATGAGGTATGAATTCACCACCGCAGTCAAATTGGACTGACTTTATAGAAGAAGAGAATTGAGTGTTGATATAGGTATAGAAGTTTTTGAATGCTATGATAGCTTCAGATTTGGTTTTGAGAAAATAGATCCATGTGTATCTTGTGTAAGCATCAATAAAAGATATATAATAGGTGAATCCATCAGATGATATTATTGGAGCTGGGCCCCATAGATCAGTGAAAACAAGTTCAAAAGGTGCAGAAAATATAGTGGTAGATGATTGAGAAGGTAAGCGGTGTGCTTTACCAAGACAACATGCAGAACAGAAACTTATTTCATTCTTAGAGGAACAGGGAACATTACATTGTTTGAGAATAGCCTTTAAAGCCTCAAAATGAGGATGACCAAGTCTAAAATGCCAAAGATTACAATCATTACTATTGCTAGATTATAAAGTAGACAGATTATTAGCAGATTGATTACAATGGACTTGATCTCTGTTACAAAGCTGAGACAATACTTTTATTGACAAACTGACTACAACTAGAACTTGGAACTTGACTGAGATGACAAACTGAAACATCTGAAGCTGAAGTAAGAGCTGGAAATGAATGAAATCTGTAGAGACCATCACTGCCAAGCATACCATGCATTAATACTTGTTTAGAATCCTGAGATTTGACAAAACACTCATAAGTATAGAATTCAAAGAAAACATGATTATCCTTGGCAAACTTGCTGACACTTATCAGATTCTTAGTAATTGTAGGAACATATAACATGTTTTTGAGAGTAAGAGAGTGTGAAGAATTGTAGGGTGATAGGAATGATGAAAAACCAGTAGACTTAATAGCCAAACCTTGTCCATTGCCCATAAAGAGCTTATCAGTAGTTATAGCAGATGCCTCATGATGTTGTATGTTTGCAGGTTCAGGAGTGACATGATGTGTTGCACCTGAGTCAGGAAACCATGGTTGGATGATGAAGGTTGATTAGGTGCAGGTCCCAGTATGGAAGAATTTGCATAGGCCCAAGCTACAGATGGATGATGGCCTGAGGGGTTGAAATGAGAATGCCAGTTTGATGATGAGGTTTCAGAAGAAGCGGGATTCTGAATAGGATGGTTAGAAGAAGTTGGATGATACTGCATCATAGGTGGAATAGGTAATGGTGCAAGTGAAGGTGGTCTATGCATAGTATACTGAGAGTAAGCATTTGGTGGTTGTGCGGACTGAAAAGTAGGATTAAAACGATGATAGCACATAAGCGCACTATGTCAAACCACAGACATGGCAAGTGACTGAAGGGTTTCCAGAAGAGAAAGTTGTTTGAATCAAGTTTGAGAGGAAGTGGATGAGAGAAGCTCACCGGAAATGGAGTATTTCCGGCGGCAGAAGTGACGGAAGTAGTTGAGGAGGAAACCATGATCGAGGAACTCAAAGCTCTGATACCATATTGATAAACAGAGTGCAACAGAATTCAGAAGAAATGATTAAAATGTATTATTCCAATGTGTACCACTTTACATTCTATTTATAGAAAAAGAATAGAAGATGCTAGAATCTAACTACCATACAAGAGACTAACAGTAGTCGGTTAGTTAGGTATAAGGCTAACAAACTTATATTCCTAATAAAAATCAATAATTTTGTCTCTGGGTTCAATAAATAATAGTTAACTCCTTCCCTAATAAATATTGTCATATTACATTACAGTAACAACAAAGCTAAATATCGCAAACTTATATTTTGTAAAATGAAGATTATAAACTTTACAGTATAGGTGTTTCAAATACGATGAACTCAAATTATCTATTAAAAAATAGAAGCTTAAGGTGCTAAGCACACCCTCCAAACGTTTGAAGGATTTCATATCATGTACTATAAACGGTAAATGAATGAAAAAACATATGTTGATGCTAACATAACTTTTATTATAAAACTTACGAAAAGTTTGGGATATTTAAATTCTTAGAGTATTCAACTCACATCTCTTCAATGTTTGGGATATTTAAATTCTTATTCCCTAATGGCCCTCAGAACTTTCACAATAAACATATACTAAGCATAGTAGTCAAAATAGCTCCCTTAATTGTAAGATCATATTTTTCCATCATTTGCAATGGAGCCAAAGACTGACTATTTTTTGGTTGAAAATATGATGAAATAAAGCAAAATGATTCACTAAATTGTCTGCACTTCTTTGTTATGAAGTTGCAGTCAGTCCATGCAATTTTGGACGCGATTTTCACAATGGGTCATCCGGAAACAATCTCTTTGTGTTTTAGTACAGGGGTAAGACTGGGTAAGATTGTGTACATTTGACCCCCCCTTACCCCACCGTAGGTGGGAGCCTTTGCGATATTGGGGTAATGATGATGATGATGAATTGTAAGATCATATGATTGTACGATCTAGGCTACTACCTGCAATTCAAAAACCGAACTGACTAAAAAGGAAAAACCGACCAATTAAAAACCAAAAACGAATCAACGAAGACCCTTAGTTCCAAGAAGTGTTTAAGGCTGGAATGATTGGTTTTGATTGAAATCATTGTGCCCCAGGGATAGGGCTGCCAATGGGTTATTGCCTTTGTGAGACCAATAAATTCACGCTCATAAATTGCTTCTTTCGAATGG